TTTGTTGCATCTGCTGGCATTAATAAAGGCCTACTGGGCTCACTCTGAACTTATGTGCTACTCTCAACCTTTTCCTTTACTAACTACTAGACCGACTAGGGCCTAGAGAGGAACTTAGACTAAGGAGCCTTAGACTGAGAGATACCTTCTTCTTTAATTTTGAAGACTACTATTCTAAACCTTGAGGGCTACTCCTTCAACGTGGGCCCAGCACTCCAGCAACCCTTCCAAAGCTTGTTTTGCTGCACCGGAAATGTATTGAGAATCACTTAAAATTTCCCTCAACCGTATTTTGTATCACATTAGAGGCTGGAAAGAAGTAAGGAGCATTCTTCCAAGTACTGGCCACCAATGTAAGGAGCATTCTTCCAAGTACTGGCCACCAATGTAAGGAACATTCTTCCAACTACTGGCCACCAATGTAAGGAGCATTCTTCTCACTGACCCCCAATGTAAGGAGCATTCTTCCCACTGACCCCCAATGTAAGGGACATTCTTCCCACTGACCACCAATGTAAGGGGCATTCTTCTCCATGACCACCAATGTAAGGAGACATTATTCCCCCCACTGACCCCCAATGTAAGGAGCATTCTTCTCACTGACCCCCAATGTAAAGAACATTCTTCCTTCTACTGGCCACCAATGTAAGGAGACATTCTTCCTTCTACTGGCCACCAATGTAAGGGGACATTCTTTTCACTGACCACCAATGTAAAGAGACATTCTTCCTTCTACTGGCCACCAATGTAAGGGGACATTCTTCCTCCTACTGGCCACTAATGTAAGGGGGGCACTAATGTAAGGGGGGCACCAATGAATGGGCATTCCTCCTATTAGCCAGCAATGTAAGGGGACATCCTTCCTCTTATGTATCCTATATTCACCATGAATGTCCTGGTCCCTCTCCTCCTATACTTGTGTCATACTCATCCTCCTCAACTCACCGTTGTTCTCATTTTTAATAGGGAAACACAGAATGTTTCGGGTCCTGAAGCCGGTGCTGTCATCCACCCCGCGGTAGAAGAGTGGATGGGAATACGCATCTTTGATGTTGAGGATCTGCCCCGTGGTGGCCACATGCCCAGCGATTCCCTGATCCGCCGGGATCCGGATCTCGTAGCTCTGGAAGAGACGTTCAAAGCCTTAAAGGAGAGCTCCACCTAGAGCCAGGTTAGCAATAGGAAGCTGACCACACGTAATCTCCATGTGTGAATGAGCCCATTAGGAAATCATTAGATACATTGTATACATATATATGTCTATAAATGTATCGAATCGCATGCGATCAATTCCCAATGTGAATGAGGCCCATATTGCGCAATCTTACATCGTCATCTACGACGCCACCATCAAACACTTTGGCGACGAGTTCATGGGTGTTTCTCTCCAGCAGGAACACTGAACATCTGCGGGGAGAGAGAAGAGAACGCGGTCGTGAGAGGAACCCAAGGGATTCATTGAATGGAAATGTGTCTCATTGCGGGCAGCTTCTGACGGAGCATTTCACACAGACATTTCTGTTGCTCGTCATGTGGATAAAACAACAAAGCTGACAAATTGGATCTGATATCTGTAAGCTGCCTGCACCCACTTCATGCTGCCTGTGTGCAAAGCAGCCGATTGGGGCTGATATAAAATCCAGGTTTTATTGGGTTAAAGGGCCGGTATCAGAAGTTGCAGACATATCTGCCATTGTA